ATTGTGGTTTGATCATTTGCATAAGTCTGATCATGGTCTTGCGATTTCATGGGATGAAGTCGCATATAAAATCATTGATGTAGGTAATGTGACTATTAGATCTGACAGTGGTTTTTTGCACATATTAAAAGGAGTTAGATACATTCCACATATGAGTAAGAATTCAACTTCTATGTTAGAATTGTAACACATAGGTTTCATTGGTTCACTTGGTAATGGAGTGATAAAAATTTTCAAGGAAGCACTTAAAACCTTTATGGTTGCTAAGAAAAATATTTGCTAAGGCGACAAATGGTTCAAATTCCACCATCACTGACGCTGATCACATAGAAGTGGCACAATATGTTAGCTCATATTAATGTTAAGAGACTTAAGTTCCTTAATGATAAGGGTATATTTGGTAAGGATTAAGTGCCGGACATGACATTTTGCAATCATTATGTATTTGGTAAAATTGTAGGATGTCATTTATATTTAGCACACACAAGATATCTAGAGTGTTAGAATACATTCATACTAATCTATGGAGTCCGAGGAACAATCCTACTTTTGGTGTTAAGAAATATTTTTTTGTCTATTATTGATGATTTCTCCATTCATATGTCGGTTTATTTATTGAAACATAAATCTAAAACCTTTGTGAATTTTAAAAATTGGAAAGTTAAAGTGGAGAACCAGACTAGTAAAAATGTAAAATATTTACGCAATGATAATGATCCCGAGTTTTCAATATTGCATTTGATGGTTTGTGTAATGAATCTAGCACAACTAGACATAGAATTGTGCCTTACACTCTCTAGCAAAATGGAATTGCTAAAAAGATGAATTGTACTTTGCATGATAAAGTTAGGATGTATGATTTTGAGTGTTGGTGTGCCTAAATCGTTTTAGGTCAAAGCTGCTATGATTGCATATTATTTTAGTAATATGACTCCATCTGTTACTTTAAATGGTGATATACGCAGGCGCGGATCCAGCACCCGGCGAGCAGGCGCGGCCGCGCGTGCTGGATCCGCCAGGAGAAATTTTTTTTTGTTGGCAACAGCTTAAAGTTTTACAATATATTACTGGTAAGTCGCCTTTGTTATCAATACTCCTTGTAGCCCAGCTGGTTGGAGGTTGCATATTTATATTTAATGTCTAAGGTTCGAATCTCCCACTAAAGGATTTTTGTGCATTATTCTTATTCTACAAATTTTACCAAAATTTTTGTAATGATGGAGACAAAGGGATTCGAACCTGTACACTCTTGCAAAAGTAGTTACCAACTTAGCCATTGTGGTACTTCTTAGTTTGTGCCAATTATTTGACCAAAAAATATTTATTAGGTTTTAACTGGTTTAAGCCAAATTCAATTGTAAATACTAGAATCCGCGCTCTTCCTTTTAATTATACAAAATTTGGCAATAATGTCATTTGATGAGTCATGTTTATTCTAATAACAAAATTATATATGTTCAATTTGAACAAAATAATTGTTATATTTAAACTTTAGGCCTTATTCGATTTCTATTTTTTTCAAAATACATTTTTCTCTTTTATTTTCATTCACTCATTCTTCAATAAAATAATATTTTTCGCAAATTCAAAAATTTTCTTTATTTGTAGCAACACTTTCTCCTTCAAATCACTGTTCAAAAATGCAAAAAAAAAAAATGGGTATCAAACGAACTCTTAATATTTTATTGCAATCGACGGTAAATGGTCAACGACCGTCCGTGCTGACTCAAACTCTTGGATTCGCCCCTGATTACCACACCAGTATTTTCTATTGCTCTTAATGGTAATCTTCATGGATCCATTAAAGGGGAAAAGAGGCTTCGTCAAGGAGAGCCTCTCTCCCCTTTCTTATTTGTGATTTGCCTTGAATACTGCTCGAGGATGTTGAAGCGTGCAACTGAGAATAGTGAGTACAATTTTCATCCTAAATGTGGTTTTTTAAAGATTACTCATTTGGTATTTGCGGATGACTTAATGCTATTCTCTAGAGGTGATGAAAGTTCGGTGGGCATCTTGATGGATTGTTTTTCAAAATTTGGAGACATTTTGGGCCTTAGAATGAATGTTAATAAATCTAGCTTGTACACGACAGGTGTGCACAGGCAAGAGCTTGAGAACATTTATGGTTTTACTAATTTGTCAAGGGGATCTTTGCCTTTTAGATACTTGGGTATTCCCCTAGCGAAGGGAAGGCTTAAATCAGCTCTTATGATTCCTTCTCAATAAAATATAGGCCTACATTTGTGCTTGGTCTAGAGCAACTTTGTCCTATGCGGGGAAAGCAGAACTTGTTAAAGCTGTCCTGCAAGGTGTTAAATGTTTTTGGCTCTCTATCTTTCCTATTCTACCTACAGTTATTTCAAGGGTTATTAGTCTCTGCCAGAATTTCCTTTGGGGGTCTAAGAAACCATTGGTTGCTTGGAACAACATTTGCTTTGCAAAAGATGAGGGAGGACTTGGTTTCAAAGATTTGAAATGCTGGAATTCTGCCCGACTGTCAAAGTCACTTTGGAATATTAATAGGAAGAAGGATTCACTTTGGGTCAAGTGGATTAACAGCGTGTACTCAAGGGGGAAAATTTTCTGGGAGCGGACAGCCCACAAAAATGATTCACCTCTACTCAAGAGGCTGTTGGAAATCAAAGACCAGCTTGTTGGTCCAGCTAGAAGCATGCAGGTTGCCTGCTGTAAACAGGCTGCTAGAATGGACAGAGGCTGGCAGCTTTTGCATAGACAAGGTTTATGGGTTCTTCAGACGGGCTGGGGTTAAGAAGGCATGGACAACTGAAGTCTGGAGATCGTAATTACTCCTAGACACTCCTTCATCCTTTGGTTGGGAGTGCAATCCAAATTGCTTACTAATGATAGGCTACCACATCTCAATATTGATAGCACTTGTGTTTTTTGTGGTTCGCAAGAGGAAAGATGCCTACACTTATTTTTCCAATGTACTTTCTCATCTCATGTTTGGAAGAATATTAAGGTTTGGTTGGGCATTAGAAGAGCAATGACTACTATTGCTAGTGCATTGAAGTGGATCAAGAAGGAAGCTAGAGGGACTTCTTGGCAAAGTAAGGTAAAAAAGATTGCATTGGCGACCGTTATCTATTATATTTGGATGGCAAGAAACAAAAAGAATTTTTGAGGATCTAAGACCATATGTGGATAGCATTATTAGACGAATCAAAACACACTTTTATAATATCATGTTTTCTTTGTATTCGAATGTTTTGATTCAAATTGAGTCTTTTGCGTGCCCGAAAGTAGTTGTTTGAGTCCATGATTTTGATTTCTCCGAATATGTCCGGTGTACTTGTATATATATTTTGATCAATAGAATTTCATATTTACCAATAAAAAATAAATAAAAAAATATCGGAAAATCATTGGCAAACTGAAAATAAAATATACTTGAAGTTGGAGTTGGAGTTGTTTGTGGGTTTTGGAAGGAAAGCAGGGTTTAAACCACCTCGTTGGGGTTCCCGTCAATGAGGACCAAACCCCGCACCAACAAAATCTCCTGCAGGAAAAACATAGAAGCAGAAAGGAAAGAGCTAACAACAAACAAAGATGAAATGAAAGAACGATATATATTATTTCTGGGCTATTCATTCATCTCTATTTAATCAAATTTAACTTTTCTACACATAAGGAAACGCCACCGGTCTACCTCAACAAGATTAATAGAATGCCTTCTCTACATAAATAATGAACTACTAGTAGGAATGCGTGTAGAAATGCAACTAGTGTTAATGGGATGAAACTCGAGCAAACTACAACTGTGAGCTCTACAAACTCTGGAATTCTTCACCGCAAAGAACAGTGTGAATAGCCCAAAACTGATATGTTTGTTGAGCAATGAGCTTCTGACCCATTAATGTATGCAGATCGCTAAATCTTGATCATCCAAAACAAGTTTTCCGATGATTACAAATGCCACTGCAGTAATGCAGCCAATAAAAGGCTGCAAAGAACTTGACGTAGATGTTGAGGCGTCAAAAACGGGAGGAGGGCTATCTCCAATACCTGTTGGGAATCCTCCTAAAGTTGGAGGACTGCTGGAGTTAAAGACTGTTGGAGGAGTATTTGTGCTGCACAGATGAAGTGAAGAAATGAATTAGTTTTCATGGATTACATCCAACACCAGGAAATCATACACAGATCTGAGGCCATTAGAATTAGTCTTTACCCAGGTGGTGTTCCAGATGGAGATGGTGGTGTTGGAGTTCCAGAGACTGGAGATGATGGTCTTGGCGGTGGAGTTGCTGAGACTGGAGATGTTGTCGTCGGCGGTGGAGTTGTTGAGACTGGAGATGTTGTTGTTGGTGGGGACGAAGAGGAGGAAGATGTTGGGAAAATGCAAGATCCCACGCCTATATGTAAATCAAAAATGGGTATTAGCATTTGAAGTTCCAAGTCAACATTTCATTTTCGAGAAAAAGATAAACATTTTCTGTGCTTACTCGGATTCACATTGGTTATCGCAGCAGTCCCACCAAAGTCACAGCTGGTTTGCACAGGATTCTTTTGATAATAGTTGTTGAAGGCATACGAAGCATGGTTTTGCAAAGTATTAGGATTATAACAGCTTGCACCCTGCTGAATGGCCGAACAATCTGCTTTTCCAATCCCACAAGCATAATCAAGTGCTGCTTGAAGTGCACTCTGTTGTGCACCAGTCTTTGCCACACACCAACCCTTCCCCGTAGTTGCAGGAGGATTTGTCGCTGCAGGAGGCGTCACTGGGTTTGTCACAGGAACACCTCCTGTTGGGCTAGGATAAGTTGGTACCGGGTTGCTCACTGGTTGGCCCCCTGGGTTTGTACTCGGGGCTGTAACTGGATTGGTTAATGGTGCTGGTGGTGGATTAGTATTAGGTACAGGCACTGGGGTGGTTGAGGGGACTGTTAAGGGAGTCGAATATGGAGATGGATTTACAGTGACAGGGTTTGTAGAGGGGACGGTGATAATTTCTAGTGCTGAATTATACGTAGGGACAGCAACCGGGGTTGATGGATAAACTACATCATGTTGAATTGCTTCATAGTAAAATATCTGTTCTCTTGTTAGCTTTTTACGCTGAATATACTTGAACCAGGATGCTTCTGCAAAACACAGAGAATGCAATTATTTTTCGTGTCATTTAGACTTGTATAGGCAGAGGAGGGCTCCTTCTCGTCCAAAATCACTCAAAAGTAGCATCTTTGGTCACTGGATCTACAAATTAGTATCCCATTTAACCATTTACTGTGTCTCCGATCCAAGAAACCAAAAGCAAATATTCATCACTTGATTTTAGTACAAAAGCATACTTTACCCCATAATCACCAATAACTTAAGCAATATCCACTAATAATGTAAAGATTAGAAGTCACAGCAGTATACAAATGAAGAATTTCAAAAATACAAGAAAACGAATTGAAAACACAAGAATAAATTACTTACCAGAACAGGGGACAAGGAAAATAGACTGCAGGAAGAATAAAATGAGGACCTTTGAAGCTGCTATAGCCATTTTTAACCAGAGCTGTATTGGGTTCAGGAGAATGACCAAATGGAGCGTTAATATGAGGGTTTTGACAAAACATGACAAAGATTCGAGAACACGTTCGTTGAGAGAGAGAGAGAGCGTGTGTGTGTCGGTAAAAGGTCGTAAAAAAGAAAAAGGAATAGGAAAAGAAAAGAGATAGGGTTAGTGTGATAATGAGATAAAAAAAGAAAAGTGGTCACTTTGTTACGAAGAACCAAGTTGGAAAATGTTTTGTGGCTAACAGTGGAATCAATAAAGTAAGCCCCCGTTTGGCCCCATTATTTCGTATTAAATTAAATTAAATTTTTCTCTCTCCAATTTTTAATAAAATAATATTACACGTAAACCAAAAACTTTTCTTTTCTTTTTAACCACTCATTTTTCAAAAAAAATACTATTCAAAACATTATAATCTCCAAATAATGATGCTCAAACAGGGGCTAAATATGTCATCGATAAAAGGCATGGCATGGTTGATGGCTGTTGTCCATTTTTAAATGACCTTAAAACTTTCTAATTCAAACTTATATACCCAAGTTACATTTTTCTTATTTTATTTAGAAAATTACTTCTTTCGACAATTAAATAGATGTCGTATTCTTTTTATTTCCAATCTTTAGGACTCATTTAACAAGACTTTTAAAAAGTTTAAATCTATGCCCATGTTTGTCCCCCATACTTTTTTTCTCTCTTTTATTTTCAACCATACAATCTTTCATAAAATAATATTACACACAAATAAAAAAAATTTCATTCTTTTTTCAACCACACATTTTTCAAAAAACATTATTCCAACTATTAAAGTTTGAAAAGAATGGAGGCCAAACGAGGGTTATTTGAGACTAAAAAATTGATTTTGAACTTGTTTGAATCATTTTTTAAAGTATTTTGTCTCGCTAGAAAATGTTTTAAAGGAAGTTGGCCTGAATTTGCTTTCTCAAGAAACTATATTACAATACGGAAAAGATCTGCCGAACGGGCCATAATGTCCCTCCACTTTGTTTATGTAACCTTTAAATTTGCAACCTTAAGACCTCAATGTTTAACGTTTTCTACCATTTTCTGTTATTGTATCAAGTAGAAAGCATATGGTTTTGAGGTACAAAATTCTCGTCGATATTAAAATTTCATTTTCAATCCCCACAATATGTAAAAATTTAATTTTCAGTCGTTTAGCCCAATTTTTAGTCCTTACCACTTTCTATCATATTTGGCGTTAACATGTCACATGAAACTTACATGGTAAATTTTCTTAGACACACATCAAGTGTGATGGATAGACAAATGTGATAAAAAGGAATAATTATGCCATAGAAGTTAAACAATTGGGATTGAAAGGTGGGATTCCATAGGTTAGGAACAAAAGCGAAGGGATGCTAAAGATTGAGGACTAAATATTCAATTTTCTCATATATTTATTTAAATTATATTGTTAAATGAACAATATTGTTCATAGTCAACAACTGCAATAATCATAATGGCCCGTTTGATCCACATTAGTGTGAGAATCAAAATGAAAGATATAGTCGCTACAGACTCGATACAAGAGATAGAAAATCAAATATAATGACTTGATGTGATGTATAACGGTCATATTTCTCATTTTAATGGGCAAATAATGATAAACAAACAAGGACAATATGTGGTAGTTCATTATTTGATGCATTAATTTTCTATAATTTTATTATCTCAAATAACAGATTGTCACATAAGGATAACTATCACATTGCTGACTATGAATAATATCTATAAATACAAATATTTTAAGCTAAACATGCACACATATGACATGCTCCAACTTCATCCGTGCAAACCCTAGCCTTACTGAATCTACGTAAATCAGACGTGGCTTTATCTGTCCTACAAAACTAGATATGTATCGATAAGTCACTTTTTTGTTAGATTTTCATAGGAGAGTGACTGCTTTATTGCTTTTCTTTCTTTGCTATGATTATTATGGCCTTAATCGAGTCTTATATAACGGGACCCACCACCCATGTGATTTTAACTTATTTGGAATAGAGACAGCCGAAAGCAAAATAGATGCTTATAAAATTTCAACGGATGTTTCAAATGGATGATATGTACAATGTAACGTTCAAATTTTCTATTTATGTACCATAGAAAGAATCCAATTTTCATTTTTTGGGGGTGAAAACTGAAAAGAAATCCCAAAAAAGAGCACTGCTGGCACTTTCTTTATAGCACTGGAAGTCTAGAACCACTGCAGATGGAATCAAAAGATCTATGTCTACACTTGCAAGCGCTTTAAAATGAATGAAAAAAGAGGTCCATGGAACGTCATGGCAAAGTAAAGAGAAGAGAATTGCTCTTACGAGCACCGTATACTACATTTGGCTTTCTCGGAATAGGAAGATTTTTGAAAATCTTTCACTTCACTTGGATTCCATCATGAGACGAATCAAAACTCACGTATACAAAGTTATATTCTCTTTATATCAGATTGTCTTGATCCATTCCGCATCCTTAACGTTAGGTCATTGACTTCTTTTGCACTTCATTTTTTTTTGTATTTCCAAGGGTTGCCCGGAGTAATTGTATGTGATATTAGTTTTTGTTTGCCCGGAAATGCCCGGTATACTTGTATATGAACATTTTTTATCAATGACATTTACATTTATCGATAAAAAAAAAAAAAAAAAAACTTTTTACTCGAAATTGTTTGGGAAAGAATTTCCTCAAACTGTATGATATAAAAAAAATAATAATAAATAAATAAATAAATAATTGTAAATCCCACACAACAACGTGCTATTAAAAATATTTTTGGGAAAATATAATTTTTAGAAAATCTCAACCAAACAAGCTCTCAATCCTTACCGAAAACATTCAATTGGGATAATGATTTATGAAATAATTCTCAAAGATCATTACCTTTTCAATTATTGAAAAAGGTTGCAAGTTTCTAAACACTCGTTTGATTTCTTACCCGAGCACAAACAACATAGACAATAGAACATTTTTCAATAAATTACAATAATTCTCGACAAGAACATTGTTTCGTTCTAAATGAAGTACAACCCATCATTGAACTAATTGAGCAGAACTTTACAATGTTAACCAAACTTCTAAATTCAGTTTTCACCAAAAAGTACTGTCATAAACAAAGATACAACACAAAAACCAAGTTAGTTTCTAAAAGCAAATCAAATGCAAAGAAGTACTAAACCCCACCTATGACATGTTTCACATGCTTCTTCACAATTCAAGAAACAAACAAGTCGCTAAAGAAAGGATCCAATGTTGCTTCTTTAGCTGAATCATAGCTGTTTAGGCGCTTCTTCAGAGAACGTAATTCCCTGTCATCTTTATGTGTTTTATCCTGAGATATTAAATTTCAATATTTGAAACGGCGCAGAAATCCGCCAAAAAAAAAAAAAACAAATGTAATACATAACAGTTCAATGATTGATATTAGTTTTGAATATGATGCTGAAGAGCAAGAAATTGCAATCCCTCGGCTATGTCAAAAGAGCAATTAAAAACTTACATAGGATTTCTTCCTTAGCAAAATATCTACCAGGTACTGCAGCCACATCACGTTTGTCTTGGGGAAACTGTAAATCATTAGAGGTAACAGAATGAATGTATCTAAAGATGCCTATACAATAATGAATACTCTAGCTAATTAAGAAATCCTATCCTGTACTACAGAAAACTTTATTCAAAGGGAATTTATCAAACTAAGAAAAATGGGAAATTTCTTAATTTGAGAAATGAGTAAATATTTACTTACATCAGTACGAATATTAGCATGTCATGAGGAATGAAAACCCACGCTAAATGACAGGGTAGTGGATTCAGAAAGATTTTCTAAACAGGGAACATGTAGGTCAAAACTTTATGGGCTAGTGATTATCTAGATTTTGAAACTTGTTGCCGTAATATGAAGAGATGTACTTGTGCTACAAGATGTATGTAACAATATTCCCAAAAAATTTAGTTGACAGTCGGCATTATACTTTGCTAAATCTTATGATGCGAATCTTGCAACATATTCTCTTATTCTGGCTATACAATTTTGCCTCACGTTGTCACAGTCAGTATATGTTGGTACAATAAAAGGAACCTTGAGTCTAATCATGCTTTCTCAGGTTATCCATTGAATACAAAAAAATTAGTTTCAACTTTCAATAGCACCTGGCTTTTGGCGTTGGTGTGTTAACATTTATAAAGCCATTCAGCAGGATAAAAATTTAAAGAACGGTACTTATACCTTCCTTCCCAACAATCATCAGTAACATCCCTCATCTTCCTGTATGTATCAGCCTGCAGAATTATTGTTGACTAGTTAATAAGAAGATTAAGTCAAACAAGACATGTAAAATATCACTTTTTTCTTACTTGTATATCTCCTTTTGGGCCATTAAAGAGTTCTGGGTCTGATGACAAGTCCAGAAAGAGTATATCTTCACCTGTAAACAGTTATGGTTTCATAATTGATTCAGCAACATTTGAAACCTATCATGTTGAAGAATACCCAGTTGTCATAGAAGTCAACCTGTGTTGATTCTTGACAGGGTAAAATCAATTATGGATATCAACAATCCAAAAGTTTTGACAATTATTTGTCTTCCCTCGAGAGTAAATTGCAGTGTGTCCGAACCCTTTCGACTTAATAGAATATTTCCCCTGTTAAAAACAAGAAATATTCCTTAGATCAGAATCTAGCAAGAGGTATTAATATGCTGCAACGGATTAGTAGTATGAAAACTAAACCAGTGCAAGTCTCGGTGTTCAAATTCATATGCAGCCTCAGCTACAGCCAGTGCAATAGTGACCTGCACCATATCGTGACAAGCTGAAATAAAACAGGCAAAAGACAAATGGAATGAAATCGCGAGTAGTTACTTAAGGATCTATTACTACCTGAACCAATAAACTCCGAGCTTCATCGAAGTTCAAAAGAACAAAGCTCTCAAGATCCTGACCACCATGTTCTTGAACAAAAACAACGTAGCACTGAACAAAATTTTCTCAGCTAAAATTGGTGGAAAAACAAAGGAAATCATCACAAGCTAACAAAAACTTTAGAGCCGAAATTGTAACTTGAGTCAGCTGCCAAAGTAACTTCAGTTATCT